TATTTTTAAGTTCACAAAATAAAGTAAATACAGCTAAATTTTAAGTAAACTTTACAAGTAGATATAAAATAAATTGAATTTAAGACTACTTACCTTTTTTGAGTGCAACCGGTTTCCTAGATTCGTTGAAGTAAGATCAACTTTTCACATTTTACAGAGTAGTGTTTGGTATCTTACCTTGGGGGGGCATCTTATCCTGGTTTAACTTACTCTTGGCTAGTATTCACTGCTGTAAGTGATTTCATTATGCCAAGTTTTTTTCCCGAAGTTATACATGTGTATGATATTGTGGTAAATGTGACACTCAGTAAATAACCAAATATATCAGTATCTACTGACATCTCAGAAAGATCTAAACTTAAGACTGCAGAGGTTGATTATTACGACGGCTGAAGCTTCACTTCAAGCATTCCAAGAACTCAAAAGCCTCTAAGTTTCTGCTGCTTTTGAAATATACAGATCTAGCCCAGTCCCGTGCACACATTTTTAAAACAAGGTGCATAAAATGAATTTGCAATGCTGAACAAAACATGTAGAACTTTGTCAGGGATCTCAGCTTGCACACTGATGCGTTTAACAGACTTTGATGGACTGTGGAGGAAATACATTAGACCACTCTCCATGTTGATTGGCCGGTGATGACATCACCTCCACAGAGCTGCAAGGAGACTTCTCCATGACAACCAGTGTGAGGTATTATTGGATTTCCCCTCTTCAGACTGTACATAGACCACACAGGCAGACTCACACCTGTTTAAGCGCTCAAACTGGGCAGAGAGGCAGGTTTCACAAGCCGAGCTGCAGCAAGAGGCCGTAAAGACGTCCACAGAGAGTTGCAGACCTCAGTGAAACACACCGACACTGTTCCTGCAGGTCCTGAGAAAACTTTAGGATTTATTGATGTATGTAGGGGTTAGTTTGAAATGAAGATACAGTTCTTAAATGGTAATAAAAATCACTGGGTGTGGACATCCTGTATTCTAATTACATCTTTAACCTCAAAGTTCAGCACAAGAGGGCAGCATTGGATTGCAATAAAAGACTTTACTGTCTTCTAACGTGTCCAGAATGGTCATATCTATCATCTAAATGTTATTCTGTAGTTTTATATGCTCTCTAAATTTGCAAATAATTAATGTAGTTAACTGTAGAATACTACGGAGCCCCTACAGGGACATTGGCAGATATTTTTTTAAATGTAGTTTCTCGTGTTCATTCCGTTTGTACACACTGCAGGTCAACACAGCAGACCAGCAGTCCATCTCTGTGTGCTTGTCTGAAAATGATAATACAGGATTTAGCTGACCTTTACTTCAATCTTGAACTCGGTTATAAGGATATTACAGCATTACTTGCACATCGTCACCGTTATATTCTCTCGGAACGACATTTAACATTGAAGATTTTAAAGTCTTGCAGTCTGTTTCGGTGGAAAGGATACAGCTGTCTCCACCAGGTAGTAACTTTTATTCATGAACAATTACACACTTCTGGCTGCCTACACGGATACAGGTGGATGTACACAAAATGCAAGGAAAATGGACTACACATCAGGAAAGAAGATGTTCGTTTCATTCTGAAAGAGCTTGATCCAAGGGGTGTTGAACTTAGAAGGACCAGGCGTCTCCACCGCAGAAGCTATTTTGCAAAAGGCCCCAATTTTATTTGGCATCTGGACTCCTACGACAAACTAAAGCCTTTTGGTATTTGTATTAACGGCTGCATAGATGGATTTTCGCGGAAAATCATCTGACTGAATGCTTTTACAACAAGCAGTGACCCCAAAATTGTTGGAGGTTACTACATGGAGGCAGTCGAGAAACTTGGAGGTTGCCCACGGATTGTGAGAGGTGACCGGAGCACAGAGAACGTTAAAGTCAGAGACTTCCAGCGTTTTCTCCGTCGAAATACGCAGGACGTGATGGTCATTGACAGCTACATTGAAGGGGTGAGGACAGCTACTCAGAGGATAGAAACCTGGGGGGGATTCCTGAGGAAGGAATCTCTGGAGTTCTACATCGTTTTGTTCGTGGATCTGAAGGACCGGGGTTTATTCAACGGTGCTTTCCTGGACAGATGTCTAATTCAGTTCTGCTTTAGGGCTATCATCCAGATAAGCTACTGTACCCGTACTGTAATGTTGCCGTTACAACCATTCCTATCTTGCAGCTCAGTTTATCATTTAAAATTAGGAGGCTCTGCCTTGCATTTTATAGATTAAATGTATATGTGAATATGTGACAGCCACAGACTATTCGCTTTCATTTTGCACAAAATTGCCTGTCAATCATTTATTAAGACACCCACTGCTAATAATTGTGCTATTGGCTACTGTAAAGGGCCCACCAAATTAAACTATTTAAAGTAATTTTAGATCCTGCTGCTTGCTCCCCCATTAATTTAAGTGGGATGAGTTGGAACGGGGAGGATGGCAGAGCCCCACCAAGNCATACATACATACATACGTACATACATACATACATACATCCATACATCCATCCATACATACATACATACATACATACATCCATACATCCATACATACATACATACGTACATACATACATACATACATACATACGCACATACATACATAGTCATCTTGGAGTCATATGCATTGAAGTTCGTATTTTTTTTTTGTTTTTGTATTAATTTTGCTTAATTTGTAAATTTCCATCTTTTTCTGGTGACTTTTTAAAAAAAAAATTTTTAACCCTTTTTTGCTATTAGTTTAATAATTTTGCCATCAATGAACAAGAGCTTTGTTCATTAGAGACTCAATATGTACTGCTCTGACATGTTGGTAAAACAGTTTCAGTTGCACTGCCATAACATGGTATACAGAGCCTTGGAAAAGTATTTACCTGCCTTACAGGTTTTCCCCTTTTATTGCGTTTTACCATCGAATCATGGTCACTTAATTTGGCTTTTTTCCCCTAAAAAAAATTTGCTGAGTCAGAGCTCGAATGCAAGACATGGGTATTTACACTCTGACTCGGCAGGATTCCAGTTTGAGATCTCAACTACACGGAGTTATTGTGAGCAGTTCAAGTTTAATTCAAGACTCTAAAAAGGACAATTTTGACCCGCTGAACTCGGGAGAAAAGAGATACCTTGAAGCAGAAATATGACGAGTTAGAACTAGACAGTCGATGTCTGAAAGTGGATATCAGAAATGAAAGTGATATTTTTCAGTGTGGACACCTGAAATATCAGACATCTGCACTGCATGTCCAGTTTAGCTGTTAAATGTGTTGTGTGATTTTGTAAAGCTGCAGGAACCTCTGTGCCAATGAATCCACACAAACAGTTTGCAGCTGCAGGTCTGTCTTCATAGATAATGATGTTTGGTGTCTGACTTTCTGCAAATGATCTGAGGACACCAGACAGTTGTTTCATCATCATCCAGTGTCTCTGCCAGTCGTCTTGAGGTGGCGGCTTCTGACAACAAAGAATGACGGCGTGTAAAGCGTGAAATGTGGCTTCTTTTTTTTTTGTAGGGGACGTGGCTCTAAAAGAAGCAGGCCTCGTTCAAGTGAGAGAAAAGTTACTGGCATGAAACAAAAGAAAGGAGGAATTTGCATTTACATATTTAAGGTATAAATAATTTTTTTTTTTTAAAAAGACCTTGCAAACTACAAGTAAAATAAAAATAAACACATTTACAGCATCCTGAATTTATACATTTGAATGTGTGTAGCTTAAGAAGCCTTTAAGGAATTCAAGGTTAAAGTATTTTAGGCTTCTTAAAGGAATCCTTGCCCTCTAATAACTGTAAAACAAATGTTTTGTTAAATAGGAGAAACAGGGATTTTGCAGCTGGAACAGATGCTTCTCAGCTCAACAGCAAATTTCCAGAAAAAAAAATGGAGCAGGAGCACACTGCTTGATTTACAGCCTTTTATTGAACACACTTAACATCTGACCCCTCATGGAGATGCAGTGTTTGAAACATTAGTCTGTTTGCATAATAAAAAGCTGTGAACTAAACAGTGTGTTCCCCATTTTTCTGCTCTGAAGATTTATTAAGTAGTTGTAGATAACTGAATTATAAGTCCAGCTGACTGCATTGGTCTAAATTTCAGTTTCTTCATCCTCCTTCTCCTGCTGATAGTTTTGAGCTCATGGTTAAGGTGCATTTTTCTGTTTGGTTTAGTCTTAGTGTCTTAATCAACTTTCTATCAGCAAAAGAGCATTAATAAACCCACTGCTCGCTACATCACACAACTAAACAAATACTTCTTTGGAGGTGATGGGTTCAAAACCAGCATTAGAAAGGAGCAGGAATGTTAAACTGACACTCATTGGATGACCAGAAACAAGACTCCCAAGTGAATTTTTCTAGATGTAAAAGCAATCAACTGTTTGCTCACACACAGTTATATGGCCAAAAAAAAAAAAAAAGCTTGACAAGTAAAAATATTTTTTACTTTTACACACCATGTGACGGTTTATGCACAAGCGCGTATCTGGATAGTTACAATCCAGGCCAGCAGGGGGCGTCAAAGTGGTCTTTGTGGTGCCATCCACTCCTTACCACCTGCACATTTAGTCTGTGTTTATGAATCATAGACTGTATGAAAAGGCTCATTGATACTGCATATACATTAGATACATTTGATGGTTCAAATGGGAGCACAGTTCACTACAGTTCTTGTAATTCAACCACAACTAAAGAAAAAAAAAAAAATCAATGCCATCTGCTCAAGGTTACCATGTGAAAAAGAAAGTCAAACCATCCATCTCACTTAACTGTCAGCTCTTAGTCAGCCATCATCTCTCAGATCCTTCATACACTGTCCTTTATGAAATCTGGACTTGTTTCACCACTGGGGATGTTACCAATATCCCTAATGCATTTAGCCTCAAGTATGAAATTGAGTATAAAAATGCTGTCATTCTCACTGAATCAGACTCTCTGCACTGTGTGGATATTGTGCAAAACATAAACAAAGTTAAATTAAATACTGAAAGTGATCACCCACACCATTTATACACACTTGAAAGGGAGCGAATTTTCTTTTATTGAATAGTGTTTCTGTACACAGTTATGTGATTGGTCCGTTAAATGCGTAATATGTTTCTGCACATTTACAAAGCGTTTATCTACATGCGAGAAAGCAAACACTTAAGAACATCTGACAAACTTTGTGCTGTGCTCCAGTTTGTACTGTCACGTTCCTGTAGTTGTACTACTAAACCAACACCAGGGGGCAGAGCGGAGCTGCATTTTAGCACTGAAGTCATTACCAGTTACAAAAAGTTCTCTCAGCCTTTAACAGGAGATCAGATGTAGAATTCTTGCTCTTCTTCTTCTTCTGCCTTGTCTACTTCTTCAACTGCTGCACTAATAATGCTGCAACTGTCTGACTGGTTTATGGAGACGTTGCTAGAAGATGACAGTGTCGTCACGCTGCTTTGGGGTCGTGACCCCCGCAAGGTAGACGGAGTGCTTTTGAGGGAGAAGCTGTTGGGAGTCCGGCCCAGTGTGGCTGACTTGTAGCTGTTCTCTGGGATGACAGGAGAGAAGGAGGGTCTGATGTCCTCTGGAGGGGCTGATAAAGGCCGAGAAGTCTGTGGCAGGCTGGATTTGGTGTACGCAGACACCACTGTGAGGTCCACGCTGCTGCCCGGATTCACTTTGTCCCCGGTGTCCACATCCGTCTCCTCTGCCCCGATCAGGGCGTCCACGTTGAGGCGGAAGGGCGGGACGAGGGAGGAGCTCCGGTGGAGGGAGTGGCTCCGGTGATGGGGGCTGGGAGGAGGCCCAGGAGAGGAGCAGGTGGACCTGGAGCTGGCTGAGCCCATGTTGGGGAGGGAGAAGAGGGATCCGGACCGGTGGCCCCTCCACTGGGACCTCCAGCTGTCAGGATGGTGCCGGTCGGACCACTGATCCTGCTCGTCCGGATCCTCCCCGGCCAGAGGCAAGGAGCCCTGGGATGTCTGGTGGACTCTGGGACGCGACGTGGACCGGTGATGGTAACGGTGGTTCCTGTAGGAGGCGGCGCTGCGGGTGAAGGTGGACGGAGCCGAGGCTGATTCAGTGACGGTGGATGATATATGGCGGGGATCCTGTCGGTGTTTGAAGTGTGTACCTTGGACCTGAGCAGAAGAAAAGAAAAAAACAATAAGAATATGATCTATTGAAAATATGTGCATTTTACTGCTATAAGACAGTCTGCAGTGCAAAACAGGAACCTGACTTGAACATAGCAACATTTAACTTGTCTAATAAAAAGAAGAAGAAAAAAAACTGCAATAACACATCATCAAGTTGGTTCCTAGATAATTGGTCAAATTAAAATAATTTAATTCAGAGCTGACAGGCTGATAAACAGTCTAACATGTTGTTTTGTTTTCAGTCAAACGGAGCTATGAGTGGTGGCATCAAGTTGAAACTGGCAAGAACAAGTCTGAAAGTGAACTATTTCTACATGTATACTATATATTATTATCTTTGTAGTGAACCCCAAAACCTGTCAGTGGGTTTGAGGCATGCTATCTGAAAACAAATTTAAAAAATGGCAAAGAATCTGAAAATTTTCAACTTTTCAATGGTCCTTTAAGCTAATCATGCTTGGTTCCATTGGGTAAAACAACCAAACGTTACTTTAAAATTGTGATATTTACTCAATATCACTTCATTCTACATGTCTAATTTTAAAAAATAAAAATAAAATCACCAGTAATAAATCATTTGCACCAGATTCTCAAAAAAACTAAAAAGTCTCTGCACCTCAGCTCCACTGAGAAGCCACGACTGACTCAGCTGTGACCAACAGTTCAGTCTTTTTTTTTTTTTTTTTAATAGTTTATGGTATTTTAACTGTGATGCTGCTAAAAATACATTTTTTAGGTTCTCTCTAGTTCTATTCATCATCGTATCGTTTCCATGGAGGTGCAGGACTTTATATTGCAGTGAAAAATGAGCCCACAGTGAGTAAAAACTGTTTGGTTTGCTGTGATAGAATTCACCTAATGATGCAGCTGCTTGTTAAACTGCACCAGTGACAATTAGCTCTGAATGTCTGAAACCAGCCTATGAGCTGCTACGTGACTTTATATGCCCTGATGAGGACTGTCAATTAAAACACTAAACCCATTTATTAAAGGCTTTTAAATGCTGCAAACCAGTATGTCTTTATATTTTCTGGTTATGACTTGAAGTAGAACCCCTCTCTGGTCTGGATAGGCCTCTTATTCCAGACACTTGACTTGTCACAGTAGGAAAAGCACAGGTTGAACTGCTGACACTCGGCTGGCTCTGTTCCACTAACTGTCGCCCTAAACGCTGACAGCGAGCCAGACTGACAAATAGCAGGGCTTTGGAGCTGGCTAATCTAAATGGATTCCAGTTTTTATTATTTACATATGTGATGTGTTTCCTTCTGGTCTGCTGTTATAAAGAAAAAAGAGGCCTATAATCTCACATTAGAGTGTAGTTCCTGAAGTACGAGAGATGAGATCTTTCAATTAATGTCAGATTTCCTGCAAAGCAGAACTGTGGAGCAGGAGCAGACTGGAGTTCTGCCACTGGACTGATAGTTTCTATCTGCACAGAGGTGCAGGATTGAATTTTCCATTCAACTTTAAGCCATCTCTGTTTATTTGTCCTCTTCTTATAGTACAATAAGACAGTCCTGCAGTATTCAGAGTCTTGTGCATCTCAGAGTGAACCCTCCAGTACTTTGCATCTGCTTCGTTCAGTAACGCAGGGACAAAGTTTCCCCCGAGGCTTCCCACTCTTTCTCCGACATTGCAGTGTTATCTTTTTGGTTCAGGAGTTCCTCAGACTCTTTCTTTCCCTGTTGAGTAAAAACCCCTGCTGCTGTATATAATCCCTGGATTCCCCTCCTAACCCAAGGGACAGAAGCTGGTTGAAGTGATCCATCTTTCCACATGACATTCCTCAACTTTCCCCATAAATATGTTTTTCTCTTCCACCGTCACAGGAGCAGCAGACTTTCTCGCCTTACAAGCATCAAATGAAGCAAACAAACCCTCAGAGAGTTTCCTCTGATGCCCACCAGCAGGCTCTTTTGTTGCTGCCATGACAGCCACCGACCGCTTTCCTTTTGCTTACAGCTCTGAGCAGCGTCAAAATATGGTCCACTCTGATTCTACCATTCTAATTTCCTGCAGGTCTGTCTAATTTCAGATACCTTCATCCTGAATTTCTGAAGTTTAATTGCAGTGTACGATTTGTTTTTGCTCATTTTACGGTCAGATTTTCCAGAGTGTTGTGACAGATTTTCTTTGGTTCCTAAGATCATGTAATGCTTGTGCTTTCATTTTTTGTTCGATTGTTTCTGTAAGATTTCTGATAAACACAGGTTGAAGTGACCGTATTATGCACATTTACAGAGTCAGAATTTTAGAGGACACTAGAATATGTTTAAATGCTTTAACGCATGCAAGCAAGCCTACCCTCCTTTCTTTTGTGTGTGCTGTCTCTTCTCTTGCTGTGCTAAATAGTAGACAGTACACATTTTTGACATATTTTTTTATCTGGGAGGCACTTTTGCACTTTTTAATCTTTTACTATGACAGTATTAACATGCTCAAACGCTATCTCGTTATTTGTAAATGTGTTATGACAATGACAATAAAGTATTGAACTGAATTGAATGCTTTAAAGTTCAAAACACACACTATTTTTGTCATCCTGTACTTTGCTGCAGCATCTCCTCTCACCCTCTGTCTGAAACACTCCCATAAACTCCCATGAGGCAATGCTGGGTATGTACCGAAAGGCCTTGATTCCCTTGTGGACCTGCAGTCCATAGCCATGTAGATGTTGCTATTTTCTACTATGCTGTTGGTTCCAGTTGCTTGGACTCCACTGGGATTGCTCCATTCCCATATTGCAGATCTCCATCTATGTTTTCGGCATTCGCACACTACATCAGACACCTTGCTGCTTGTGGTGTAGTTGCTGCCTGGACACAAGTTTAACCCCAGATCTCTGAGCAGAGGGGCAGATAAATGTATTGTATCTTGAGCAAAAGTGGGTCCAGTGAGAAAGCAATGCCAGACTGTGATCCAACTCTTCATTTTTTTTGTACGAGGGGTTGGAATTATGCTAATGTGTTAAATGGTGATGTAAACAAATGGCAGAAGAAAAGCCTGAATTTCAAATGAGGCCTTTCAGGCATGTAAGGAGTTTTCTGTGTGAGAGTAACTCCCTTTGCCTTTGAAATTTACAGAGCCTTCAAATGACCAAAAAAGTCATATAACACACTACAGGAAGGGGAAGCTTAAAAATGGGCCCTTTAAATGTAATTAATGACCTTTGAAAGAGCACTTTGTAAGGAATTTTTGCTCGTTTCCAGTGAGATGTTTGCAAAAGAGTGCTCCCAAATCTTATTGTATGTTCTGTTCATGTGGTGAAATATATGATCATAGGGGATACAAAGGAAGGAGGTGCATATTCAAGACCATTAACTTCCTCTGCAGGGCTCTCATGCAACCCAGCGCTCCTCACACGACACACAGGCAACAAAGTGAAAGAGGAAAGGGGTACAAGGGAACCCCGGGGTTTACAAAAAAAGCCCCCATCACGCCCCCCCCCCGTTCTCCGCCCGGCCACGTTATGAATCACAGCAGGCAGCTGCAGAAGTCATCAGCATCCAGAGGAGCCCCAAGTGGATCACACCTCCATTTATGGACCAAAGTATCTCAAAACACAGAGACGGCTGTTCAGAAAATCTACCACAAATCTTCAGTCAATTACCATCCACCGAGTAAGCAGGGCTGGAAAGCTACGACGCAACATTCCCCCGTTCTGACATAAATGTGGAAATGTTCTTGTTTTTGAAATGCCAGGCAGCTGCAGCCGTATTCGTTTCACCGCTTTGTCAGTTCAGGTTCTCGACTGCGATTTCCTTCTGTGTACAGATTGGAGTGCACGGCTGCGTCGTCCTCTCGCTGCTGCTGCTGCTGATAGCTTCTCCACATTTCTGTTCTCGTGTCTGCTCTGTCATCCAACCAGACAATACAGAGAGAGAAGCAATAACTTTCCACACAGCAGCCTCAAGACAATTATTTCCAAGAGCGCGGGGATAGAGGAGGAGGAGGAGGGGGGGAGGTCTGCAGATTTCCATATGTTGAAGTTCAACAACAATAAATATCACGAAGGCAAATCTTGAGAACGAGAGACGAGCTGAATGGTGATTTACCACGACAGGCTCGAGTCAGTGTGGGAAATAACGGAGTCTGCGTTTATAACGTTAATAAATAATTTGCTGATAACGATGGCTCGAGTCCAACTCTTGAACAGGGAATGTAACTGTGAGGAAATTTATTATCCTCCCGAACGGGGCTGGAAGGAGAAGTTGATCTAAAAGTTAGAATTTAGTTAACATTTGATGGATCACATGTAAGAGACTTTTTACTGAGAAAAATAAAAACATATCTACTATATAATAACTGTAATTGTTATTGTGAAGTGTTCACAAAACAAATGATCTGAAGAAGTCACCTCAAGACATGTTTGAGTTCAAATAACTGTTAATCTTGATGGAAGCATATTCACACAAATAATATATGCAATATGTTGGTATTTTCCCTTATTGTACTTCATAATAAAACATTATTACTGTACTGTGTAGGTGACTGAATGTATACTGTATTTGATTATTCATACCTTTACCTATATATGTATATATTTGCACAAATATTTACACATTTAATTTATAAATATCACAGTTTTCTTAAGCATTCATTGTTTAAAAGTGTTGTAAATGTAATTATCCACCATAATATCACAGCAGGGTCTCAGTCTTATTGTGTAAGACAGTCAAGTAAAGTAGTATTTTATATATTTTTTGTAGTTTTTAAACTCCTAATATGTAAATTGCATAGGTATAATGATACAATAAATAATATTTCAGGCTCTTTATTCCGATATCTAAGCTTGTCATGTTACTTTATGACACCAATCACAGTCTTTTCTTCTGGAAATAATAAACGCAATTCTTGTTTCAAGACGCTCAGAGATGCTTTACAAAGTAGGAAAATAAGTAAAAGATGAATAAATAAAATGGCGACAGAAACATGGGAAGAAAGGGATTATGAGTAGTTTTGCAAAGATGGAAAGTACT